TCATCAAGGCTGCATTTATTTTATTAAAAATGCAGTAAAAACAGTAATATTGTGGAATATTACAATTAAAAAAACTAATATATTGTAAAATGTGATTTATTCCTGTGATGCAAAGCTGAATTTTCAGCATCGTTACTCCAGTCTTCAGTGTCACATGATCGTTCAGAAATCATTCTGTGTTGTTATAACTAATATTTAAATTCATATTTTTGTGGAAAGGGTGATACAATTTTTCCAAGATTCTTTAATGCGTAGAAAGAGAGAAAAACAACAACAACAACAGCATTGTAAAACACTCATTGGACTTCAACTAATACACTTTTATTTGTTTTTAAATGAAACAGAGCATATCTCAGACAGAAAGTCACTCTTATTTAATGGATATAAACAAGCCGACTGACACTCAAGAATAGTTGGGGGGGATTACAACACGTACAATAGTAAATATCAGGGAGGTTGAATATCAGGGAGGTTGAGGACTCAGAGTAAAGTCCAACAGGGTTTAAAAACATCGAACATGACACAGATTTCACACCGAACACCCCAGTCACGCCTCCCAGGCTCTCGCTCCACTAAGTTTCTCCAACACGCACACAGCATCCACACCCTGTAACAATCCTATTTGCATACACAGACACAATCATGCAAGCATATCCCACACTCTTTAGCGTCTCAGATCTGCACCCCGAAAACATGCGAACGCTTTTATTTTGTTGCACCGGCAATCCACTGGCAGTAGGCGGGAAGATGTGGGTGAGGACACACCATTCTCAAACACATTACACCATCATGATGCCAATGCATCTCATCCGTGACGACTGATGCACCATGGGAAAATGAACCCCACGTTCACACGATCATTCAGCATGCTGACACTCACATTTTGTTTGCACTGCTGTACAGAAAAACAAAATTAAACTAATTTCATGTACAAATTTTACAGTCCCAAACTGACATATTCAAAAAAGCATGAACCATAAAAAACATAACATAAATAAATATCTTAAAAAAGTAAAAACCAAAGTTTTTTTTTTGTTATTTTTATTTTTTTAGAATTATACTATTTCTTTTCTGGCATTTGTCACAGTGGTTTGTATCATCCAGATATTTGCATTTTTTGACATCATGAAATAAAAGAAACAATGCAACTGGCACACGACAAATATAAATATAAAGACAAATCTTCATTTTTCTTCTCTTTATAAATAAATATCTTAAAAAAGTAAAAACCAAAGTTTTTTTTTTTAATTTTTTTTTTTTTAGAATTATACTATTTCTTTTCTGGCATTTGTCACAGTGGTTTGTATCATCCAGATATTTGCATTTTTTGACATCATGAAATAAAAGAAACAATGCAACTGGCACACGACAAATATAAATATAAAGACAAATCTTCATTTTTCTTCTCTTTATTTCGGACCTTTGCTCAAACCAGGCCCTTAGACATACGTCATATAGTTTTAAAGACCCAACAGGACTGAAACTTCTTTCTTTCTTACATTATTAATAATTTCTCTAGATCTATTAGACCTTTAGTCTAATATAAGTCTTCACCACAGCCCAGAGTTGGCACATAATGTACATAATCATGCATCACCACATAAGTCAACATTTCTCTTTTTTTCTTTGTTCCATATAATATATCTCATCCCAAGGCAGGAGATTACCCTCCTACTTCAAGTATTCAATAATAAAAGGTCCTGAAGGTGGAGGACTGCAATATGTCTCCGAGAAGGTAAAGTCTGACGTCTTTTTTGTCCTCTTGCTTTGCCTAATAATACAATTATAGACTTGCACGACAGACAGACATAAATATTAGAATATAAGATTAACTTTTCTGGTGTTTGAAACTGGTCTCAGAAACATCCAAGACGGAGCAGTATTCACACGGTGGACATATTCTGGATCTGTGTTCATCAACCACAACAGTAAAATGTTCAAGAAAGAAACAGGAGCACAGCGACAATGATGTTCACGTCATGACCGAATTACCGTGACGTTTCTGACTTCTAACCTACTCATTGCAACATATTCATAACGACCAAAATCTTAACGTTAAAGCAACTCTATGTACGTTTTCTACCTTGAAATATGAGCTTTAAAATCACTCTTATAGTACACTGTCTTCTAAAGGCAAACGGCTTCTGTTACTTTCTACGTCTGTTCTGGGCGTAAGTTTGGTGAGAGGGTGTAGAAATTCTTCGAAAAGGGCAGATTGCTTTTTGGCAGCAACAAATGCATGTGTACAGCTATCTACTGAATTCCACTCACTTAACTGTTAACTTGACTCCAAAGTCACAGAAATACACAAAACTACATGCAGTTGCTTTAAATTAGTTTCATGTGATTTTATAACAGACTTAGTTGCACAATGCACTTTCTTTGTTCCTCAGGATTTGAGCTCTGGCATAAAAATGAATCATTTCTGAGCTCAAAGATACAAACTTCTTAGAAGAGAATCTTTTAACTGTGGTCATTCTGACACTATGTGAACGCAGCTTGTGGATGGTGTTCCAGAACAGAGATAAGTGAGGTTTCTGGAACTAATGTGAAGGCGCCTGAATATCGAGAACGAGAAATGCAACATGGAAGCACGGACAGGTTGTTTTAACAGTCAGATCTTGGCTATATTTTGTGCTTCACCAAAGTCCTAATGTGAACTTCACTACTACAGACAACAGCAGTGAAATGACACAAGACAATGCAAAACACAACTGTTAACATATCCCAGTCATCTCAATGTAATCTTCCACTTGAAACTATGTTGATGTTTCTTTAAGAGATAGTCCACCCCAAAATAAAAATGGTCATTTACTCCTCCTCTTGTCGTTCCAAACCTGTATGAGTTTCTTTCTTCTGCTGAACACAAACAAGCAAACAGTTTTGGTTCCCTTTGACTTCCATTATATTTTTGACCACACAATGGAAGTCACTGGGAACCGAAACTGATCCACAGAGGAAAGTCAGTCCTACATGTTTGGAACGACACGAGGGTGAGTAAATGATGACAGAATTTTCATTTTTGGGTGGACTATCCCTTTAGACGCGGTCACAATGACAGCGCTGAAATCCGCCTCAAGTCACCAAAACCCATTGAAAATTAACTACAGTTCGCTTTCAGTATGAACACAGCTTAAAGGGATAGTTCACCTTCAGTTGCTGGTTCCCATTGACTTGCATTGTGTGTTTTTTTTCCATACTATGGAAGTCAATGGGGACCAGCAACTTAAGGTGAACTATCCCTTTAACCCTCAAGTAAGTTTCAGTCCACTGCGCTGCAAAAGTTTACTTCAGATCTCATTGCTGTTTCGATCTTTTTGTGAAGTGCAAAATATTCTATACAACACTTTTTCTAGCTGAAGATCCTGCAAAAGACATTTTTCATTCTTTTTTTGCATAGACCCCAGTGCCAAGATCTTGTAATGAGAGCACTGTGAGGGCCAAACAGACAATGATAACACACACGACTCAAACACACCGAAAAAAATGTTTCCTTTGATTTCTGACACAATAGTCTGACCACAGTAGACACACTTTATTTAGCTAGTATTTCTCTATCTATATATCTACTATCTATTTATATATAGGCACTCACCACCATGTTGAGACGTTACGAGAATTTGGCGGTAGCTCCGCCGGTACATGGTGGGGCGGTTCGTTAAAGGAGAAGGACATTCCCTTTATGGGACACGCAGGTTTGACTGGCCTTATCTTGACAAATTCATCAATGCTACGACCTGCAGCAGTAGCTTGGGAGAACATCTCAATTGTCTTCCGAAAAACTTGCCGCCATGGATGCAGGGAGTGTTACAGATCAGCTGATGTCCAAAATGACCGTAGCCATGGCTGTCTCCATCTCTTTTGGGCCTGAGCACCAGTTGAAGCACCATTAGAAATGTTCCCTTTTGTAAGGGGTGGAGGTGCATAGGTGCATGAGAGCTTACATGCAGACCAGGCTTGGGGTTTGGAGAGGAGCACGAGCAAAAAGAAAGGGCAAATTCTGGTTAGCATGGTGTATGTTATGTGCGTTATAATCTGTGAGACCAATGAACTCTGCATAGAGTAGACTACCTCTGAGGATCAACTGAGGTAACGCTAAAGACGTTACAGATACTACCTCTATAAGGTCCAATATACACTAAAAAACCAACAATGGAGACTAAATGAGGCACAGACATGCATTTCATACTCAAACCGAAGTGCATGTATGTATAGCACATATAATAATACCTAAAGAATCGAAGGCAGGCAACAGTTGCCCTTAAAGATTTAAACTGCATATGCAGATGTGATCGTAAGAAATGGTTAAAAATGAAATTATTAAGATGGCATTATTTTACATTGATTACATAAAAAAACACACACAGAGAAATGACCCAGTCTGACAGACTCAAGGCTTGAATGGGTGCAGGTGGACTTGTTGCCTCATTGAAGAGGTGGAGCTACATGAGAGTGGGCGGGGCAATGTTGAGAAGGGGCGGGGCCAGCTGGATGCATGCACTGGTCACACGTGGCAACCAGGCAACAAGGAGCAGCTGCAGTGTCTCATCTAGTGTTGACTGAGCTTGGGGTCTTCAAGGCAAATGTCTTTAGAAAAAGAACTGCACCAGGAAGTGACTCTCCATATATATATATATATATATCATCTGAAAAAACTACAACAACAAAATGGAATAATTATCTTTAAGAGAGTGTCATTTAGCATTAATATTACACGCAAGTGCAATTGCTGAATATATAAATGTATTTATATTTATATATATTATATTAATTATATTTATTTCAATTACATTATTAGCAATCTTACTGACCAAAACAGTAGTGTACTGTATGATATGAAATTTGTAAATTAAAAAATAAAGTGGTAGTACTTCTGTTGATAGTATTTACCTACTCAGGTGGTCATCTCCAGCTTTGGCCCTCCCATTCACACTAATGCTCCGCCTCTTTCCTTAATGCATTGAAATAAGCGGGGCCCCATCCAAAAGAATGAATCTGACTGTAGGTAAAGACTGGCCAAGTGAACAATGTAGAATTTCATCTGTATGGCATGGCTGTGCTCCTCCTTTAGTGACTGAATTGTCTGAGAACATAATAAGAAAAACAATCATCAACCTACTGTTTGGCAAATCACGTTTTTCTACAAAATCTCATTTTAAACCAGAAAAATGACATCAGTCATCAAGATCTCACCCCATTAAACAACATCATTGCTTTGGTTTGGAAATAGTTATGCCCAAATTCCTTCTTCATCATCCTTTGAGCCCAAAATACATCCAGATATCCAGAGGTCAGCATGAAATGAGGAGAATTAGATGAGTTAAAGTGAAAAAAGTGAAAGTGACGTGACATGTGGCCAAGTATGGTGACACATACTCGGAATTAGTGCTCTGCATTTATCCCATCCAAAGTGCACACACACATCAGTGAACACACACACACACACCGTGAACACACACCCGGAGCAGTGGGCAGCCATTTTTTTGCTGCGGCACCCGGGGAGCAGTTGGGGGTTCGGTGCCTTGCTCAAGGGCACCTCAGTCGTGGTATTGAAGGTGGGAGAGAGCGCTGTACATTCACTCCCCCCACCTACAATCCCTGCAGGTACGAGACTCGAACCCACAACCTTGGGTTACGAGTCAGACTCTCTAACCATTAGGCCACGACTTCCCCAGGTAGTCTAAAGGTATTTAGATTGGGAAATTTAGTGATTGTATTACAGTGAGCAACAGGTAAATTATATAGAAGTCCATTGCCTGCTGAAAAGACCATCCATATATTATAATTTGATTTCAATAAGTGTTGTTACCATTAACTAAAACTATTTAAAATAAAATAAAATTTAAATAATAGAAGAAAAACGTAACCAAAAATATATGAAAATTAGAAATGTTGCGTTGCAACTACATGAAATACATACAGTAAAATTAACAAATAATATAATTGTATATAAATAATACAAAAATAACACTTATTTTAATATATACTGCACCAATACTTTAGATCCTTGTAATGTTATTTATTAAACTTTTAGTTGAATTTTTTAAAAACATATTTATTTAATCTTGCCTACTGTTGAAGGTCTCAAATTTTATTTGCATTTTCACATGCAAAAACAATGCCAGTGACATCGCTGACTCTTGACACTGTATTTTAATACAAAATGTGATTCATATCATGATGTGGCTGGCCATACTCACTATTTTATGCTGGTTAGTGCAGGTTTTTTTTTTTGGTGGATAAAGGCTGACCAAGTTGGTAGTAACATGTGGCTAATGTGGATTTGCTGACTAAAATTTTTGTGATTAAGCCTGGCAGCCAGGGAATATCCAGTACACCAGCATCCCATACTGGTAACCAGCATACCAGCAGCCAAAACAAAACATACAACTCACTAATCTGGTCTTTTCAACAGGGTCAAAACAGCCAACCATGCATTGGTATTTTTGGTTAACAGCTTGTAAATAACACAGAAAAAAGGCCTAATATTACCTAATATTACCTTGATGATGCTGAATTCAAAAATATCATTAAAGTGCCCCTATTATGCCATTTCCAATATTGCCTTTCATGCAGTGTGTAATGTAGCTGTATGTGAATGTAAACGATCAGTAAAGTTGTAAACGAGTCGTTAGTAATTCGAATCCCACTTCCGTGACGGCTACACGTCACGGGGTAATACATTTGCATAATGCGCGCCTATGTTCTACGTTGGCCGGCTGCGAACAACTTGACCCCGCCCACCAACACGTCATTCTACTGACGACTACTCTAATCTCGGGGAGTTCAACGCGGGATTCACAAAACGCTTGCTGTTGAAAGATGGATCAGTATCCTGTTTATTTGGACCAGCTGCTCCACTGAATCACAACCTGTAAGTATGATAAATCATAGATGTTAATATTTTCTATAGAGGGTTCAAAATACAGAACTATTGAAATAGGCGTATCGTTTCCGACACGCGCTGTACGCCATAGACCAATCACAACAATTCGAACTAATCGTTTGAGAATCGCTGGAAAATGAGGTGATATTAAATGCATATTTTAAGAAAACGAACGCATTTTTTGACCTTGCATGCATGTAATCCTATTGTAGGAGACTCCCAAAACAATATTAGGAACCGTAAAAATGGCATAATAGGGGCACTTTAAAAAAAAATTCAAAGTTTTTTCAAATGTACAGTATACAGTATATATAAGCTTTAATGCTCTTATTAAAATAAAAGTGGTAACATGTCAAAAGGTTTGGTTTCTTTTTTTCTACAATGACAAAAAGAAGTATTTAAAATGTATCATTTAACTTACAACCTGCAAACGAGTAGAAATAGTGGAAATCAGGATTAGGCATAAAATAATGTCTTCAGAATCATTCATACGTGCGAAAAACAGTTGAGAATTGAACAAATAGTTGTAACCCAGCTCAGAGAAAAATGGGACTCATGTCTATGTTCTACGTTGGCCGGCTGCGAACAGCTTGACCCCGCCCACCAACACGTCATTCTACTGACGACTACTCTAATCTCGGGGAGTTCAACGCGGGATTCACAAAACGCTTGCTGTTGAAAGATGGATCAGTATCCTGTTTATTTGGACCAGCTAAATTCAAAGTTTTTTCAAATGTACAGTATACAGTATATATAAGCTTTAATGCTCTTATTAAAATAAAAGTGGTAACATGTCAAAAGGTTTGGTTTCTTTTTTTCTACAATGACAAAAAGAAGTATTTAAAATGTATCATTTAACTTACAACCTGCAAACGAGTAGAAATAGTGGAAATCAGGATTAGGCATAAAATAATGTCTTCAGAATCATTCATACGTGCGAAAAACAGTTGAGAATTGAACAAATAGTTGTAACCCAGCTCAGAGAAAAATGGGACTCATGTCATTGTGGCAGTTTTTCTGTTGATTAAGTGATAATACAAGACTCCTTTGCCTTACAAATGGTTGTCAAAAGCAAGAATACTACAAAATGCATCAAATTTTGTGAAAAAGTGTGACGTGCTCAAGCAAATCAGGCACCATTTTTGGAATCGGCACCCCAAAATTAGTAATAAACAAGTATTGAATTTCATGTGATGCAGGTTAGATAGAAATACTGCAAAGTAGAGACCTGCACGGGACCGATTTTTCAGTCCCACTCCCACAGGATTCTGTCAATCTTGTCCCACTCCCGACCGCAACATTCATGTTTTGTCCCACTCCCACCCACAAAAGCCTGCATAAAAGTAGTCTATATAGATTTTTTTCAGTACATCCATGAAATTTACATGAAAGTTCTGTGTCGCCTAGCCACAACATCCCAGCATAAACGCTCATCAACATTCACAAACCACTTTTATTTTTAACAGAAAAGCAAGCATAGGCTGCTGTGTGCATGGTTTGGCATGGCAGAATGTGAGCAAAGAGCACTCCCTTTATAATCACCAAAAAGCTGACATCTCAGTTCATCGCAGTCTCACAAAGCTGTCATAACACAATGAATAAAAGCACAATGAATCTTTCATAATGTCTACACTTCGTGTGTTAGAATGAGAGGATTCTTGAGCACGCAAATTTCAGCGCTGCACAAAACTCCGGCGTTTTAAGCGGTGAGTAGATTCTAACTTAAACAACTCTGATTGACCATTGCGTTCCAGAAATCAACAGATATGTCTGTGATTGGCGTGTTATAAATAGAAACTCTGCCTATGCTTGCTCCTGTTAATCATTTTTATTTTATATTAGTTGTTCTTGTTGCTTTTGTGCAATAAATGAATAATAATTTATTTGATTTTAGATATTTATATTTTGCGGGAGTCCCGCGAATCATTTTATTCTCCCGCATCCCGCACACACACGGGTGTCTACCCGCCCACATATGGAAGAAAAATAATGCCATATGTCTTTGAAACAAAAAAAACGTTGAATAGCACTAACTGAAAAAAATAATGCATTGCATTAACAGTGCTTGCATTTTAATGCCTTGTATTTCAAGGGCTTGCATTTTTAGGTCCTGAAATTTAACATAGTTGTTTATTTAAGATGTGAATATTTCAATTCAAAATATTTCACACACATTTTCATAATTAAAAATTCAATCATTCATATTCACCTTCCAGAATTCACTTCCAAAATATTCAGTCTGTTTAAAAATACGATGTATAATATTCGACAGGCAAATTTCGGTCCATTTTATTTGACTTTCCAAATTCGCTTCCACAAATTCAGTGGTTAAAATTCGACAGAAAATTCGCCTTTGCACAGTTTCCGTAACTTTGTATCATGGCTTGTGTGACGCTGCTGTAATACTGGGGTTCCCCTCATACAGTATACTTCACACCTCAGGATTGAGTGATAAGACCTCAGATCTCAGAATACACTTTATTGATGATTATGCGAACTATATACAGGCAAGCAAATGAGGTCAGAAGAACGCAACGCACCCCATTTTCTTTATAATTTCTTTCCCTTACCACTGATCTATTGAGTCAACAGTCATACAATAATAATAATAATTTCATAATTAATCATTTATGCATTTAGCAGGTGCTTTTATCCAAAGCGACTTACAGTGCATTCAGGCCAGGGACTCGCGCTAACTGCACCCTTCACCGTCCGCTTTTTTATTTTACAAAATCAGTTTGGGCGAATGCAAACAACTTATTGATCATGAGCCCAACATCTAGCACGGCAGGAAAACATTTAATCTACCTGAGGGAAGACGTCTTTCATTGTAAGTTAATGCTGTTAAATAGAGAGGGGAAAAAAATGCATTACAAAAAAAAAATTATAATAAAATAAAATAAATACTTCTTGCGTAGGCTATTCTTAAACTTGGACCTCATTATTGAAGTAAAAATCCAAGCACCAGAAGCGGCCCACACTCTCTTAAGTTTTCTTTAATTGAAAAATATGCATTTTCATTCATTCAAAGGCTATAGTTGCAATAATATTTTAGATCAAAACCTTAAGTGCCATTGTTTAAAAAAAAATACTTGATTGACTGACGTTTTATAGACCTTCAGTTGTTAGATTTTCTAATTTCATGCCATTTGTAATTTCACAGTATTTTCACCTTCTCAATTACACGTGTGAAGTCACAATTCTATAATGGTACAATTTAATGTACAGAACTTTTTAACTGCAGGCAGACTTAGGCCTACATTATGGCACAGTACAAATATTTGGAATGTCCCTTATTCTGTCCCTTATTATCTTAAAGAATAAACACTATTTTCTTAAAGAATAAGATAAAGAATCACAATTGTCCCTTATTTTCCATTTCTTATGTTAATTGGCAATGATGACGTAATCATCTTTTGACTCCCCTGACAGCAGAACCTTGCTCAAAAAAAAAAGTAATTGTTGGAGATATGCGAGCAAAAAATAATAGATAAAAAATGCATAATAGAAAGCGCAAAGGCGGCACTGAAAAGGCCAGTAAAAAAAAAAGAAAAAGTGGGCCGGTCTAAGGCATGAAACTCCGGGGCTGAAAACGAGTCCCACTCCGGCCCTGATTCAGGCTATACATTTTTTATGTACAATAAAACATACAAAGATCGCACCCAAGGAACCGTCTGACAATTCCACCGACTGGGTTAAAGCATCCAATGTATTTTAATTAAAATGACTTTTAACATTTTAAATAACACACTGTCAAATTGTAAAGCTCGTATTGCTCATAGTGATTTACTACTGGTGAGATTCTGCCAATACCTCCCTTCATATATGTACAGTACACAATTATTTATATATAAAAGATCCCTGGAAAAGGTTTTTTTCATGTTCCAACGGTTGTAGTACGTTGCTAGATACAAGACTAACTTACTACAGGTTAGATTTTGCCAATATTTCCTTTATGGTATGTACAGGATACAAATATATTTAAAAAAAACTACAGTAATTCACCAAAAGGGTTTTTTTCATGTTCCACAGGTTGTAGTACGTTGCTAGTTACAAGACTGACTTACTTCATGTGAAATTTTGCCAGTATCTCCCTTACTGTATGTACCATTAACAATTATAAAAAAAAATAATAATAATCTGTAAGACCCCAAAAGGGATTTTTCATGTTCCAAAAGTTGTAGTATAAAATATTGATGTACTTTATGTGCAATAAGGGAGGTATTAGCAAAATGTCACCTATAGTAAGTCAGTCTAGTCACTAGAAATATACTACAACATTTGGAACATAAAAAAAAAAACTTTATGTGAATTTTACAGTGAGGAAGATATTGGCAAACTTTACAGTGAGGAAGATATTGGCAAAATGTCAACTGTAGTAAGTCAGTCTGGTCACTAGTAACATACTAGTAACATACAACATTTGGAACACTTGGTGAATTACTCATATTTGTGTAGTGTACATACTTGGGGAAAGTATTGTCTAAGGCGAGTTATTGGCAATATATATTTAGTCAGTTTGAGAAAATTATTCATTTACTGTAAACATTAATTTGACTAAATGATTGGACTCGTTCTGTACTGAGGTAAATTTGCAGACGGTCCCTAAATCAGCCTAGGCGAATATGCACTGAATATCAAACCTAAAACTACCGCGCTTGGCTTTCTATGGGAGAAAAAATTGTTTGGTGAAACTTTGTGGGTTGTAGGCTAATATTCTGGGTTCATCTGCTTAAATGTACATACTATACCGTAATATATATTATTAATTAGGTGCCGAATTTAATTTATCACCGTCTTGAGGCAATAAACCACGTTAAGTGTTTTCTTTATGGGAAATGTTTAACGTGCAGTTTTCATATCCTCATCTGCCTGTTTATAGTTTGCATCATCAGTAAGATCTGAGTTTGGTCTTTTAATAGTCATTGCGTTAGTGCACTTACTGAGCCTCGTAATGGGTTTTCTTTAACAGATTTCTGAGGGAAACAGCGTGAAACCTTGCGCGTTCGTTCATATTCTACATCTGCTTAACTGTCGGTATAGTTCGCATCATCAGTAAAATTTTTCTGAGATCTGAGGTCTTATAGTTCACTGAGGCGCATTAAGCAATCATTGGGGAATCCTGGAGTGTGACGTATGAGGGTAACCACAGTATTACACAGCGTCACACAAGCCATGATACAAGTAAAGGAAACTATGCAACTGAAAGCAATATATGTCTTCCTCAGATGTAATGTTAGTTCTGTACATCAGGGTTGGGTAAAATAGCATTATAATCTCCTATGTGGTAGAGAAATCTGCTTACATGAATTTGCAGACGGTCCCTAAATCAGCCTAGGTTAATATGCAGCGAATATCAAACCTAAAACTACTGCGCTTGGTTTTCTATGGGAGAAAAAATGGTTTGGTGAAACTTTGTGGGTTGTGGGCTCATATTCTGAGCTCATCTGCTTAAATGTACATTATATACAGTAATATATATTATTAATTAGGTGCCGAATTTAATAATTTATTATCACTGTCTTGAGGCAATAAACCAGGTTAAGTGTTTTCTTTATGGGAAATGTTTAACGTGCAGTTTTGCGCATTCCGTAACTTGCGTTCATATCCTCTTCTGCCTGTTTATAGTTTCGGGTCTTGCGGTAATCCCGCGGGAGTGCAGGTCTCTACTGCAAAGGTTATGGAAACAGTCATATGATGAACAGCAGGAAGTAGGAAAAACAAATATACACTAATTTAGCTTATTAGATAGATTAGAATAGGTGCAGACACAAACTTTGTAGTATAGTCAAGTTAACATACAAACCTGGTCTGGGGCAGATCGGTGTCCGGGATGAGGTGGTCCACGGCCTGGACTCCGATGGTGTGGTGGTGGGTGTCGAGGGTGTGGGCCCTGCAGGCCGGGGTGCGGGGGGTGATGGGGGTGCTGCTGCGGGTGCTGCTGTGGGTGCTGCTGTGGGTGCTGCTGTGGGTTCGTAGTTGTTGGCAATCAATTTCATCCTGCTCTGTGTCTAAATGGATAAAAAGAAGACACAAGCAGCATATATTTGATATAGATTCTCAGATGTTCACAGAATGGAAAAAGAAATCTCTAAATGGCTTCTACAAATGTAATCAGTTTGCTTTTACTCAATTTTCAGGAGTCAATGAATCATAGACCGCCAGAAAACAAAGCTGAGTTTACAAGGTATCAGGTGGCTACAGAAGATTTTCTAATACTTTCTTTGACTCATTCCCTGATAGTTGTAAGTTGATATGGCCAGATTTTGGGAAAAACATCTCACTGAAGCTAAAAATAGAGATGCACAATACTGAATGTCAGCTAAAAAAAAATTCAGTTTATTGGCTGATATTGGATATTTAATTTTTACTGAAATTGTGATATTTAGTTTTTCTGCAATATACAGTATATAGATTTAAAAAATGTCAAGATGGTGCCGGTGTGTTTGGCTGGCCGTCTGGTACCTGGTCTGTTTGTTTTTGTTTTGTTTGTCTCACTTCTGGCCCAAAACGCCACCACTGTCTTGGTTTATGAGAGTCTTATATGCTCATTAACATCAGAAACACTGTGGATATACAGTTTGAGCAAGAACTTGGAGGACCGTGCTTACACCTTCCTCCAGTCCTGTCCGATGTGCTGCCGGCTTTCCTGCCCCCTTCTGCCAAAAAAGCGTTGAAGACGACGTGGAAAATAAGGCGAGCTTTAAAGTCAAAGTACTTTTCTGATATTATTAATAAATAACTGTCATAAATTCTGTTATTAACCCACCAAACAGCATTGGGCCTGAGAGTTTAGTGGAGGCATGTGAGAAGTTTTTTTGTTAAAGATCGAAAACATTAAATCTCAAATACCTCCTGTAGCTGGTCGATCCCCCTGCTCTTCCTTGTTGCCCTGTTGTGTTTGATCAGTTCAAACTTCTTCAACTCTTTGCCTTGGCTAAAATAGTTGATCAATTGAGGCCATCGGATTCCCCTCTTGATATTGTCCCATCAAGACTGATCAAACAAACTTTTAATGTAGTTGGGCCTAGTGTTTTATCGATAGTAAATAGCTGCCTTGCATCAGGGACTGTTCCTGACTTTTTTAAGCATGCTGTAGTACAACCTTTAATTAAAAACACTAATAAGGCTGATGATACACGGGCAATGTGTATCATCAGCCTAAGTTGGATCCAACAGGTTATTCAAATTACAGGCCTATTTCAAAATTACCTTTTCTCTCGAAAGTGCTGGAGAAAGCTGTTCTTATTCAGCTGCAGTCTTTTTCGAATAGGATTTCTTTATTTGAAGTATTCCAGTCTGGGTTTAGGGAGCATCATAGGGCAGAGTTTGCACTTTTGAAAGTTCTCAACAATGTTTTGCTAACTGTAGACTCTGGTGATGCTGCAGTTTTGGTGTTAATAGACCTTAGCGCAGCCTTTGACACCACAGTCCATGAAATTCTTATTGCACAACTTGATAGGGATTGATAGGGATTCGTGGCACTGTTTTAAACTGGTTTAAGTCCTATCTAACCAATAGGAGCTTGGTGAATTTACATCATCGTCGGCCTCTCTTACATGTGGGATCCCTCAGGGATCTATTTTGGGACTCATTTTGTTTTCATTGTACATGCTTCCAATTGGGTCTATTTTTAGTAAACACGGAATATCATTTCATTGTTATGCCGATGATACGCAAATAAATGTACCAGTAAAGAAGGAAGGCAACTCCTTAGGGCGTCTTCTTGCATGCTTAAAGGACTTGAAAACATGGTTGGCTGTGAATTTTCTGCACCTAAATGAATGTAAAACTGAGACTATTGTTTTTGCACCTTCCAATGTATCTGGGTCCACTAATATTGATTTAGTCCCTTTATCTATTTATGGTTAATCCATTGTAAAAATGTAGGTGTAATTTTGGATAATGACTTGAAATTTGACAAACAGATTATTGGTCTTGTCTGATCAGGGGATTTTTTTTCAATTAAGAACATTGGCAAAGGTCAAGCCATTTTTATCCTTTTGTGATTATGAAAGGGTGATGCATGTTTCTCACCTGGGCTACTGTAATTCCCTGTATGTAGGGATTAGTCAGTCTACGTTGTGAAGATTACAGATCGTCCAGAATGCTGCTGCTAGATTGTTGACAGGTTCTCGGAAACGGGACCATATTACTCCCATTTTGTCATCTTTACATTGGTTACCAGTCCGTTATAGGATTGATTTTAAAATTCTGCTGTTTGTTTTTAAATCTTTAAACGGCCTTGCACCATCTTATCTTTCTGATTTGTTACAACCTTACTCATCATCAAGATCACTCAGGTCCTCTGACCAGAAACTCCTGATTGTTCCTAGGTCGAGACGTAAACTGTGGGGGGACCGTGCATTTGCAGTGTCTGCCCCAAAGCTTTTGAACAGTTTGCCTTGGCACATAAGAACTGCCTCCACATTTGTCTCATTTAAGTCTCTTTTAAAGACTCATCTCTTCTCCCAGGCTTTTCTGCAGAATACTGCTCAGTGATTTGTTGTTGGAACCTCATTGTTTTTTATGTTGAATGGTTTGACGTTCATGCTGTATAAACAGATGTGTGTTTTGTTTGTTTATGTATGTTTAAGAATCTGTACAGCACATTGGTCAACTTACTGTTATAGCCATATCTTAATATATATTACAACCCTACTATATATTTCCTTTAGCAGTTTTCAAAATTAATATTTATCCATATTTCATTCAGTACAATTTAATGGTGTGAGACCTAAATTCACTTGTAACATACAAACTATTCATTTGAATTTTTATTGTTTTATGTCCTTTTTAAACTGAAATCATACAGATCTACAGATCTAAGATTGTCCATTTAACATATACTGACCACAAGATAATAATTATCAACTTTCAACATGTCATCCCTATGAAAAATTAATGATATCTTCACTCTACAATATCTTAATACTAGGTGTAATTAAATGGGTTTCTGAGTAGAGAAATTGACTGACCTGTTGTTTGAGCTGATGCATCAGTCTGTCTTTCTCTCGTTTCAGGGCCAGCACCTCCTCGTGTGTCTTCTTCTTATTGGAGGAGGACAGCTCTAGCAAAGCGATGTTAGCATCCTTCTCACTGATAGCAGCGAGCAGAGCCTGTTGTCTGAGGGGACAGACAGTCTGAGATATGTATGCAAGTACACTGAGCAGCTTTCAAGAAAAGGAACACATGAAGACATCACAGGGATCAAATAATGAAGGTTGTGTTGTATGAAGGAACAGAGTCTAATCGCAAAGATTCTTACTTCATCTCCAAGATTTCCTCGAGCTGTTTTCTGCGCTCCTGTCGGAGGTTGGTCAGATGGCCGTCTCTCTCAGCCAGAGACTGTTGGGTGGAGGACAGACGCTGCTTAGTGGCGTCCAACTCCTGCCTTGTCTTTTCCAAAACATTCATCAGCTCCTCCATCTGTGAAATAAAGAAAAATGTGTGCAAGACAATAAAGAGAAAACCTTTTGTTTTTCTTGTTTTCTCTTTATTTAAGTAGAAATTTAAAGCCATCAAATAAAAAAAAAAACCCACAAACCTTTGGATTGTCCATTGGATTATCCTTGCGTTGATCTTGCAAGATATTCCCAGGGCCTTTCTTGTCCATCTGAGGACCAAGCTTGATGCCTGGGCCCTTTTTATTTTGATCCTTGGTTTGCCTTAGAAAACATACAGAGTTTCACCTGAATATCTGAATTTGATAGCAATCGCATAACCCCATTTAACCAAACGAACCCAATTAATTATCATATCACATTTTTGTCCTGTTTTCCAGTACAAATATCTCTAACACTTTACTTAAAGCCTATTATAATGCATTTTAACTTTGGTCACAACGTACATTATGAATACCTTTATAATGCATTATACATAAAGGCTTTAAGTAAAGTGTTTACCAAATATCTTTCTAAAATTAAGATACATAAGTAGCAAATTACGTGAGTTATTAAATGTATAGTTCACCCAAAAATGAAAATTCTGCCATTATTTACTCACCCTCATGTCCTTCCAAACTTGTATTCATTTTTCATCTGTGGAATACAAATAAAGAGAGTTTGAAGAATGTGGGCAACCAAACCGTTTTGTTTCCCATTGACTTAAATTGTATTTTTTGTTCATATAATGGAAGTCAATGGGAACCAAAACGGTTTGTTTACCAACATTCTTCAAAATATCTCATTATATGTTCCACAGAACAAAGAAAGTCGTACAGGTTTGGAACGAGGTTTGGTTGCGAAAATGATGATAGAATATAAATATTTTGGGTGGACTATCCCTTGAAGAGTATCCCTTATCTGGAGTAAGAAAAATAAACTTAACTCAAAGGGAAAACAAATGTATTTTTCTTACCCTATTGGCAGATTTTTATTTTTTTTAAATCTCATTTTAAGTCACTTGATTTAGATTTTTTTTCCAGACAACATGACTTTATGTGTCATTTTGCTTCTTAAGTAAATGTTTCTTGATTTAAGAATGTTTTGGAAATTTATACTGGAAAAATTGTATGAGATTTCAATGCATCCACTCAAAAGTCATAATTTGTTTGCAAAAAGCCAGTTGGTTTTCATTATATAATGTAATGATATTTTGACTGAGTGTGTTTTAAGTGTCCAAATACAAGTTTGGGGTCACTGTATGCAGGGCTGTACGTTAACTTTTTTTTCACATAGCACTGGTGCTACAGAGGTTGAAAGTTTTGTAGCACAGGCCAAAAAGTTGTAGCACAAGTATAAAACGTCTGTTATCATGTCTGAAAACAAACACAAGTAATGGAGTTCATCACTTAAACAGGCACTGATGTTCCATACAGAGCACAAAAAATACAAACCATCACAAAAATTGTTTTTAGACAAAGTTTTCTTAATTTGCTAAAAATGGAAGAGTGCAGAAACATAACACCTCTTACACCTTAACAAAATATAAAATAAAAAAGGAATGGCAGACATTTAGGCCAAAGTGAGCAAAGATAATAATCTTTGTCATTATTTTATCTTTGTTATTAGAAAATAAGAAACACAAACAGTGCTTCATTTTTCAGGTACATTTTGACAGTATTAGACACTAAATCAATCAGAGGCGAAAGACAACTTAGTCCAATAATTAGGTGCTTTTTGACAGGCTCTCAGTGTGAGCGCACTTCATGAGTACGCGCTCAGAAAAAGCGAATGCAGAACAGCACATTCGCACACCCCTAACTACCAAGTATAATCAATCTCACACACACAAACAAGCACAACGAAATCACTTCACACTATTAAGCGGCTGTGTTATGAACATGCAAAACTGTATAGCACGCGTGCTACAGTGGTAAATTTATTCATAGCACAGACCAGTTATTTCGTAGCACGTGCGACATATATGTCGCACTGTACAGCCCTGCTGTATGTGTGATTATTAAGTGCAAATAACAACACAACACAGCACAACACAACATCACCATGAAATATGACTCATAACTTTGACAACAACACACGATGCAAATGTGAGGAAAAATAGTTCTTTTTCTAACATCACATGAACAAAACACGCTTGGTTATTGCTCAGAAGGGAGGGTGAACACCTGAGGAACAACCAACTTACCTGGGCGCAAGACTGACGGTGGAGAAAGAGGAGGGATACAGGAAGGGCAGGAATGGGAAGGAAGAGAAGCCGCAACACAGCAAACAGGAAGGAAAGGAGAAATAAAACTTTAGAATTCATCAAAACGAAGAAGCAGAAAACAGCTGGAAAGAGTCAAATGAGAAACTAGGAGTGGTTTAGAACGGCTCCTGAAGTCAGCAAGGCAGGATGCACAACACTATCATCTCAAATCATCACCGTCAGTGGATACGCCACTGAGTCCAGATCTGCAGGGGCCCGTGAGAGTGCCAACATGCAGCAATCCAACCAGCTGAGCCGCACGGGGGTGGCAAACAGGGCAAGAGCGCTCAGGCATGAGGGTGCAAACCTACTTGAGGAATACTAGACCCTACCTAAAGCACCCAGCTCATTCACAGAGCAAAACAGGGCCTGAAATGCTGCAGAACGTCTCATGCAGGCCGATGAGACGGCCGTTTTGAGGGGATTTCGCAGGCTGAGGTGGGAGGGGATGGAGAGGATCATTCAGAAGAGTGAGAGGGAAGGGAGGAGAGATTGTGTTAGGAAGCAGAAAGATGACATGTGAAATGAGTGTTCAAGGGTCAGGAAACAGGGCTCTGCTCATTTTCAGAGCCCTCGTATGCCAGCAACACCAAGCGGCAAGCACAGAGATCACTGAAGCGTTTGTGTGCAAAGTAGAGTAACAACTGCAGAACAAGTTAACATGTCATTTAAGCAGGGTGGAATAAAATACACCAAGATTCCTAAAAATAGCATTAGTTAGATCTAAGTGAAAACCACTGTATTATTTAAAGTATAATTTTAAGAATAGTTCACCTAAAAATGAAAATAATGTCGTCATTTACTCACCCGTGTGTAGTTTTGGACATGCATGATTTTCTTTCTTCAATAGAGCACACAGGAGGTGTGATTTATTGTTTTTTAGTAAATATTGACTTAAATATAATAAAATACTTAAACAAATCCATTGTATAACTTGAGAAGACTTGGAATATAATGCACAAGCCATACATACAAACTATTTATATTACATTTCAGTGTTGACTTTTTGTCATTTTTTGGAGTTCAACAGGATTCGTTCTCATTCACTTTCTGACAGGACATTCTGTCCAAAGGCCCATTCACACCAACAACAAAGAAAAAAATTATAACAATATTAGCATCCACACCAACAGATGATAATGTTGTGTTTATAATAGCATGAGCTGCAGTTTTGTTGTCTGCCGCTTTAAATGCTCGAGTTCTTTAAAGCAGGATGGATTCTGATTGGCTGTCAGTGATTTTAATCATTCACCAACTTGACAAAAATCATTCTGAAAGTGATTCCAACTATATTTTTCCTCTGTGTCGTTATCGTTACAGCTGTGGTGTGAACCTCCCAATTCTCATAAAAGCAGAATGATTATTAAAACTTTATTTTATAGTTATTGTCGTTGGTATGAACAGCCCTCAACTTCCTCTTTTGTATTTCATGGAAGAAAGAAAATCAGCCTGATGACATGAGGGTGAGTAATTAATGACAGAATTTTTATTTTTTAGGTGAATGATCCCTTTAATCTTGGTGTAATTTTAGAGAATGACTACATCTACATGTTGCCATGCCAACATCAACACGACAGATATTTCCAGTGTGCAGTTATCACACATATGACACTATGTGAAAGAAAATTATTGTGCTGAAACTGAGGAACCATTTCGATTAAAACTGAGCTTTTTCACATTCTATATTTACTATACCGAAAACAAAAATGAATAAAAAATAAAAAATCTTATAGAACAGATATAATCATAAAAGGAAAACTTGCACTCTGGTTGATGTACACATTAGCACAGTTCCAAAGCCTAGTGAGTTTCCTACCTACAGGCAACATAGTTTAGGCACCACTACCAAAAGGAAGTCTGCAGACAGCAATATATAAGATATGTAGTCATGGCCAAAATCTAAGGTAGCATTAAATGTATTCTTCTGCAAGATTGGGGTTCTGCAAGATTTTTTGAATGTTTATGGAAAAAATATCTTATGCTCACTAAGGCTGCATTTATTTGATAAAAAATTCAGTAAACGGTATACTGTGAAAAATTAAATTTTTATTTGAATATGTTATAAAAATGTCATTTATTCCTGTAATGGTAAAGCTGATTTTTTTTCTTGTCAGTGTCACATGATCCTGATTTGCTGCTCAAGAAACAACATTATTACTAATGCGGAAATAAGCTGCTTATTATTTTTGAGAAAACTGTGATACATTTTTTTTCTGTATTTTTTGATCAATAGAAAGTTCAAAAGAACAGCATTTATTTGAAATAGAAATCTCCTGTAACTTTTTAAATGTCTTTACTGTCACTTTTGGCCAATTTAATGCATCCTTGCTGAATAAAACTTTATTAAAACTATTTATTAAAACTAAAATTAAAACTACTGACCCAAACTTTTGAACTTTTTTTATATACAGCAACCCCAGAATGTACTGCAACGAGATCAAAATGGCAAATGAGGGAAATTGTATAATTTAATTTTATAATCATATTTTATTTAATACTTTTTCAAATGCACTTAGTTAATATTTCTATTGAGTTATTAGCTTAGCAACATGCAGCATCAGACTCTCTTGAAATCAAATGTTAGCATTATACAGATTTCTTGAGCACTGTTTTTGTAATGACTGAATTGCTGCCCACTAAGAAACTTTTTCATAATTTTTTAATCACCCACTTATGAGGCTCCATCTTGGTTAGGATGATGCCTATGTAGACATTAAACAGCGAGGCATCTCACTAGGGTTTGGAAGAGAGCCCCACACATGCACAAGAAACAGCAAACACAACCACAAAACACACGATACACACATATTATTTTCTGAGCTGTCTCAGTCCACGGATTTTTACATCAATGCAATCTGGCACATATTTCCCACATTATAAAGAACAAAATAATGTATTTCTTGGTAAGAAAAACCAGTGAATGAGAGACAGCCGTGCAACAGGGGCATCAAGGCATCAAGCAGGCACACAACAGTTGCAGTTGCAGACAGATAAATGCAGCCGAGCCGTGGTGCCAGTACAGAGCACTCACTTTCCCAGGAAGTCCCACACCATGCCCCCAATCTGCTGGGGGGCAGCGGACACACAATGTTGAATTTCAATTGGTTAAATACAGAAATTGAGGAGCCAATGAGAGAAATGCAGAGGAAATGCAGGATAGGAAAAACATGAGGATGGACAAGAAATTTTAAACAAGAAATTAGTGTTTTATGACAGAAGATGAAGGAACATGGAAGAACAGGAGGAAGAGAAGGAGGTCGGAAAAAGAGAAAGACCAACAGACAGAACAGAGAAAGAGTTGGCGAGATGGTAAAAAAACAGAACAGAAACACACATGGTTAATTAAACCACATTAACACTAAAGCATGAGCATGTCAACCGAGAAAAAGCAACGAGACTTTGAGCGAGAGCTGGAGAACCTACGAGGAACTGAACTTAATGTTCGATGCTCTATTTTAAGGAAAAAGTGTATATAAAGTGCAAACTGCAGCACTGCATAATGCGTGATAAATGCATAAATCAAACTCACTTGGAATGCTGATAATTTCTACTATGGCTAGTCGATGTTTTGCATTATATATATTATATATCGAGAGAATTAGAAATTAGACATATTTAGTATTATCCACTAATTGCATTACTGCTTATTTGCATGAAATTGAACCTTTCATGACTTTGTTGTGTCATATCTCAATCAATTACAGTCACTTTGAAATTGCTGTTAGTGTGAACGCCCATTTCAGATGATGTACAACCCGAACATATATGACTAGCATGGACCTGATATCTTAGATGAACTACTCAACAACTAAACATAAGAATTTAGAAGAAGAGTAAAGAGATATGAAGGCAGTTGTATGTGAACATGGCAAAACGCACACAGATCTGTCGGGAATAGCAGTCATCATGGCGCATGAAGAGAAGGCAGTTCACAACCACTAATCACGAGCTCAATATCAATATTCAGAACATGTCAGAAACACACAGAATACTGATGACCTCATGAATGCATGATTTCAGGAAACAGCATAAATATTTGCAATCATCATCATATTTCATCTCAAGGAGATGACCAGCTCTGAGAGTGCAGCATGGTTTGTACCGCCTCAGTAACAAAACGGCCCTTGATATCAGCATTTTGATGTTATACCCCAGCAGAATTTGATATTAAGTACAGTAGAAACTGTCAACCGATGCTGTCAAAGCCCAAGATAACAGCAAAACGAGAGATCAGTCCTGATGCTGCATTATGAAACTCATACAGGCATCAGAAATCATTTTCAGCTCGTCAAATCGTATAAAATTCACCTGAATTCCAATATTTACGCTACAAAGGAATGTTTGGACATGTTTATTCATTGTCTATTAATACTACTTTTAACATTTTAGAAAAACATTAAAATAACACAAATGTAAGTATGTTAAAAAAAGTTAAAGTTTTATGTTAAAGTTTTATCCCGTGTCGGAAACACTATCACACTACATGGCCAAAATCATTTGTTAAAATTTTTTTATTAATTAAATATTTTATTTTGTAAAGAAATGCTTGCATAATTATCTGGCCAAACTCATTTAATTATTATTATTTAATTTTTTTTACTTTTTTTAAAAATAACTATGCATTTATTGTATTGTACTGTATGCACATATGTATGCATTACATGCATTAAATACAATTATTTTGTAATGCATTTATACAGCATATACTACAATAAATGTACAAAGTCACAAATTATGTTTTTCTACAAAACTAATTTCAAGTATTTAAGTATAAGTATTAGATCAAAGGCTTTTCAAAATCATACAAATTCATGCGAAAAAACAAACAAACTGGTAGTGTCAATGTGATTTGAATGCTCAACATCACACTTCCAAAAGCATTTAGAAAGTAAACAAGTGACTTTTTCTCACCTTTCCAGTTCTGCGATCTTCTTATCCTTGTCGTTTTTCTCCGTCTCCACCTCACTCAGAATCTCCAGTAACCTCTCGACCTCGACCTGGGATTTGCTGGACTCATCTTTGTAGAAAGACACCTCCTTTTCCAGAAGTTTGACTCGGTCCACATACTCAGGGTTCCCTCGTGAGCTTTGCTGCACCTCCACTTCATGAGCCTTCTGTATGAGGATCATTGGAAGGCATCACCATAGAAACCAGTTAAAATCAATTCATGAAGAAACATTCCCAGTTCTATAACCAACACATACACCAGTATTGCAGACTAGAGGGCTCTTTGGCTCCACAAAGCAGATAATTAGCCAAGCTTTAAATGCATAAATCCTGAAGATTAAATGTGCTTATTTGGCTTGTTGCAGTTAAAACTAAATATAGGAGATCATGTCATACTGTAAAACTGAGGAAGCTGCAGTTATGCATAATTTTCTTTGCAATATTCAAATGCGGCCTTGCTTCATTATTAAAACACTGTAAGCACTCTGAAACACAACATACATCTGCAAGCTGAACAATGGATCACACACAATACAAAATTTAAGAAAGCGATAACATGATAATAATGTGGTCATAAAACCAAAAGTTGCAACAGATCAAAGCTGACAAACCAGATTCTCAAAAAGTTCACATAACATGAGAGGAATTAAACTCACAAAACAGGAACATGCAATGCAACATGCAAATGTGGATTTTAGCTCCATGGTTCAGTGGTAAGGTTCTTTGCAATGCGTTTGCCTTCAGACATATGCGTGTTCAATTATCTGGGTATTAATTTCAAGGAAACATTGGAAGCATGAGGAAACAATACAGTTTTTCAACATTTCACAGAATGCCCTTGAATCCCAATTAATTCTGTTTTAATCCTGTTGGTTTCGTCTCATTGTTGTCACTACGTACAGTTTATATGATAAAAACAATAAATTAATATAATGGATATTAAACAGGATGCACATGCAAGATGCTGAAAATATCTGTATTGCACCAGAACTATGGATTAATTTTTTTTTTTTAATAATAAAATAAAATAATTAATACTCAAATTAAATTTTTGTAATGCACAATTTACTATACATTAAATTATTTACATTCCTCTATATGCAAGACCCCAAATAACCTGCAACTGCAAAAACCTCCAAAAATAACCAGACGTCCAGATATTTGTACGTGACATTTCACATAATTATGAAAAGCTGTACCTACCTAATATACATATTATATTGTTCCTGAACTATAAAGTTCATCAGACCATAAATTAGAACCCCTTCTTTCTATAAGGCAGCAGGGGTTGAATTATTTGCAGACCTTTACAAGTTAAGGGTAAAGAAAGAAACTAAGAGTATAGTGTCCTCATGTTTTCAATGTGTGCTAGTATACAGATCCAGAGAGACACTTACGGGATTGTTCATTTGACTGAACAGCTGCTCTGCTTGCTACATTGCAAAGGAGGGAATCATGGGATATGAGGAAGAGGAGGAGGATGAAGGGATCAGTAAAACAGCACAAGCTTTATCATTAGCTCTTCTTTCAGGATAATGATAATGTTCTACACAGGAGAATATAAATAACCAGAGAGCAACACAAGAACAAAACGAAGCTGACTGAGTGTCAGATCAGAGTCAGTCACCTTCCTAGACAGCATTTGTGATCATCACAGTCACATTTCAAATGTTTTAACTGAACTATGTGCCCACGGCACCCAAAAATGCCATTTAAGTAGGCAATTCGCTAGGTTTTGAGACACAGCTACTGTCAAATAAGAGAAATTAGACAAAGACATCTCATAAATACTTTTATACAGTTCCCATGATGCCCTCTAAAATGAGTGACCATTAAGATGATGGAGAAAACACATTCAATGAAAAAACTGGCTAAATCATTGAACGTAATTCTAGTGGTGAAAATTAAAGATTGATTGATATGGGGTTTAAAAAGGTAGATATTCCTAGAGCATATACTGGCAAAATATATTCAGTGAGACCACAGAGAAAACCTGGGATCAATTAAAAATGAACAGAAACAGAAAAAACACTTTGCACTGTCAATCAAATCAGCACATTTGTGAAATTGAGCACATGAACTCCTTTGTACAAAAAGTTTTGGTCTTTTAAAAAAGATTGGAAAAAACATTTCCAAAAGATTGTTATGCTTATAACACATACACTACCGTACAAAACTTCTGTGAAATTTTTAAGATTTTTAACATGTTTAATTTTTACATTTTGAAAGAAGTCTCTTATGCATTTATTTGATTAAAAACACTGAATATTACAGGAAAACTGTAATATTGTGAAATTCTTTTGCAACATAAATAACTACTTTCTATTTGAATATATTTTAAAATGTAATTTATTTCTATGACAAAGCTGAATTTTCAGCATCATTACTCCAGTCTTCAGTGTCACATGATCCTTCAGAAATCAAAAATGCTGATTAGCTGCTCAAGAAAAATCTCTTATTGTTAACAATGTTGAAATCAGTTGTTCTTTTTTAATATTTTTAAGGAATTCTTTAATGAATAGAAAGTTCAAAAGAACAGCATTTAATTTTTTAGAACAATGTAAAAGTCTTTATTTTCACTTTTGAACAAATATATGCTGTATATATATATATATATATATATATATGCATACTTTTACAAGTTTAGATTGTAAAATTGTATAGTATAATTATATAATGTAATAATCGTAATATGAAACTTCTGAAAAAAGATCTGAAATTCTAAATTCACATGATTGCTAAAATTAAATAATAAAAAATTAAGTTTTATTTTACACAATATTTAATAACTAAAAATATTTGAAAACAAAAATGTGCATTTTCTATTTGCAAAACTGTCAGTATATCCTAGATGTTGACACACAGAGGAACAGCCACTTCTGTTAATATTAATTTCTGTTAAGATGCACAGTTAACAACTGATGCTGATAATCCGAAAATGTCCAATATCGAATTATCAAGATGTCAGAAGGAAAATCATACCTTTTGTAACTGTGTCTCCAGTTTACTGCATTCCTCTTTCTTCTGCTCGATTGCGATCTCAAGGGACTTGAGTTTGGAGTCTTTCTTAACACCTGACGAGGCCAGCGAGGAGGCGTGTTCTTTTAAATCTATGAGACTCGACTGGAGGAAGAGCAAGACAGTCCGATCAAAACCTCCCAGAAACACAACTGAAACAAGACACACACGCAATCACTGACGTACCTCTTTCTCTGTTAGCTCCACTTGTAAAGAGTTCACCCTCTCTTTAAGGTCTTTATTCTCTTTTTTATATGAGTCCACCTCCTCCATTCTCTCTCGGTCTTCCCTCTCCCTTTGCTCTTTCAGGCGCTCGATAATTCGTTCCTGTGACAAAAACACATTGCACCTGAACTCGCGGCTAATTGAGCACGCTAAAACAATTTCCACTTCTGTAACACTCAAGGTTTATAAATAAATGTCAGTAAACGTCTTCATTCTTCACAGATTAGGGGGTAAATTCACAAAAACTTGCCGTAAAGTTGGAAAAATGCTGTAGAATCTGAGTAAAGTGTACCAGATCATCGTGGTCTCCAGGCATCTGGCCTGAATGCTGAGAAATGTGCTGTATACTTAATACATTTTTTGGCCACGTTTTCTTTGTTACCTGATTTGCATAATTCCTTTAGAGAATCAGGTGCTAAATCAACACAGTGCATGCAAATAAACAATGCTATCAGCAGGCACAATTTATTTCCTAAGTGTAAAATACTCTGAAAATGTCATACACAGCCTGTTGTCAAAGGCAATTTCTCGAACTTTGAACTTCATTTATAGTGAAAAGTGTCAGCTTTCACCAAAAACCTAAATTAGCATACTGTATATGCGGCAGCTCTAATTTTATGTGCTTCTGGCCTACATTTTCATTTCCACTTCCACTTGTTTGGGACAATTTCTGGCACCTTCTCAGACAGGGCTTCCTCTAGCGTGACGAGGGCAGTATCAGTGTTGCTGGAGTCCGTCTGGAGAGACTTCACCCTGTCCTTTAGATTCCCGAGCTGTTTATTTTTATCCCTCAGCTGCTCCTGAAGGTTCTCAATCTGAGAGAGAGGAAGATGATAAAAACCAGTCTGGATTTAGCAACCATCGAACCGTTAATTGAGAGTTTGGAGTTCTCTTTTGATTGCAAACTCAACAAAAAGCCAATGTGATTTTTAAATTGCCTTTTGGATTATGGCAGAAAATAAGCTCTGTGACCAACAAAAGTTAATGATTCTTAGATGTTTTGTTCATCATGATAATCTTTACAAATTAATGCAATTGTTATGAATCTTCAAGCCTAAATACAATTGCCAGAAGTAAAAAGTTAGGCTATAAATGAACTATATCACAGTCGCATGACTTCAACATCACGACCACAACAACTCTATATTAATATTTATTTAAAATCTACAAGTTGGTAAGTTTAAGTTTAGAACAGTTTGCAAGAGCATGAGTATAAACACAATGAGGCTGTAAAAAAAAAAGTCAACTAGTGAGTAGATGAGTTTTCCTTTAAAAAAAAGTAAAAGCTTTAAAAATCATGAGTGGGGTATTAATGATGTATTTTATGTCGTAGAATAAAACGTGAACATATATTGAGCTTGTTTTTACCACAGACCTTATTTCAAGCATTTCACCAAAAACCCATTAAAAAAAACAATTGACTTTGGGGCGATGGAACTCGTTTCCAGGTTTTAGGACGCATTCTTGCATTGCACTTCAACTTGGTGCCACCAGGGGTGCTAATATTACATACTTCACCTTTATATAAAGCACATAGAAAGGGAGTTTAAATTTGACTTAATGTCATGTTATCTTATTGCTATAAGAGATCTGCTAAATATTTTTTTAATATTAAAGCATTCATTGTAAAAGTATTATAAGCCAATAAAGTTACAAATATACCCACAAATTGTAGATGCATTGGTCACAAAAACATCATTTTAATGTGTCAAAGGGTGAACTGTCAAAATAACAAGGGCAAATGTCAAATAACAACAAATGGCACTGACAATAAGAACATTCGTAAGTCAATGTTTACGGACATGAATGGATGTATACTGCATGTACTGTAGCTGCTAGAGGCTATCTTACAAAGAAGCCACATGTTCTTAAGGCCATCTTACAAAGATGCATACCCTAGTCTAACAAACACCTTGTTTTCCATTTGAACGGGTTTGTGTTGAAGGAAGCCTGAGGATGTTTCAGCCCACAACATCTACTGCTGACTGTGAAACATGCGGTTGGTCTCTAATGGTACGGGCAGCGTCTCGTGGGAATATTTATGCCTGATGATGTTCTGTATGGTCAGATAATGGGCTGGATTTCACTTCCTTCATCCCCCCAAGAACTGGATGCTTTCTTTGATGAATGGTGCAATATCCCGTTACCCCCAGTTATGGAGCAATATGAAGGGGTTTCAAGAACAAATGAAGCTGTTGAAGGCAAAGGGAGCTACTAGGGTGTTTCCTTGTATAAATATCTGAGAAATACAGCAGGTTGTTTGTGATGTGACTTAAAATATATGATAAAAAGGATCAAACCAGCACACACAGCAAGAGATCAGAAGTTAAATACGGTTTAGCCTTTTTTGACTCGAGATGTTTCCAGTGACTGAACAACATGAAAAAGGCTGAAGAACCCAGTAAAACATGTGGTGAGATGGTAAGAAGATAAGATATGGGGAGAAAGACACTAATGCCCTGCGGCTCTGCAGTTAAAATGCATTTTACTAATCCTGCCTTATCTGTGAAGAATATAAGCAGTTCTGCTTCAATTTTTAGTCAAAATTCAGCTCACCAGGTTTTAGAAAATAGCTTTCTGTGTATTTCCCTAATTAATGAAGAATAAATTGTCCATTTCTCAGTATATTTTCTAACAAATCGGACCAAAAACTCTATATAGGTGCGCAATAAGAAAAATCTGTTACATATACAGGCTTTCAAATCCCCTTGCTCTGGCTCATATCACACTCTTCTCTGTATCGACCCCAATCCTTTTTAATGGCCCATGAATACTGGCCTCTGACCTTTGATTCTTGAGTGAGATTTACCTTCTTCTGCAGGACGTTTATCTTGCGTTCTTTGACTTCCAGCATGTCTTTCATGTCTCTGATCTCCCCGGCCAGTGTTCCCTTCTCCTCTGTCAAGTCTTGCAGTTGCTTCGTCTTCTTATTAAGGAAAGATTCCTTCTCTTCCAGACGCAATCTAAGAGCGTCCACCTAAACAACACAACATGAGCAAAGAGTTCATGTAAAGCTGATGAGATATGCCTTCAAGTGGTCATTGAAATAAAATAAAAGAGTAAATAAAAAAATCCCATAAAAATAAAATAATTTACAATAACACATACACATAGAATTTTAAGGGACAAGGAGTTGCACCAAGGTAAATGTTAAAACTTAATAAAATAAAAATAAAGAAGTAAAATAGAGTAATAAAATAAAATAAAATAAAAATTTAACCTCTGTCTGTAGGATGGCAGCACGTTGCTCTTTGGCAGTGAGAGACTCTTTGAGCACTTCAATATGCTGTTTGCAGTCTGAATTCTGATTATTCAGAGTTTCTAGTTTTGTTTGCAGAGCTAAAAGCTCAGACTCTTTTTTTGAGAGCTCCTGCTTGAGCTGGTCAATCTGAAAAAGAAGGCACAGAGAAAGAACATTTTCTGTTATTTATAGGACGGGGAAATCATTCAGCACATAAAATATTAAAAAACATCTGAGTATCCAGACAACAAATATTTTTACAATATCATGTCATAAAATGTATTAATCAGCTATGTTTTTTTAATAGTTAAACTGAAATGAGCATGGGAATTTTCTTCTCTACATCTGTACTCTCCTCACATAAAAGATGGATTTCAGAACACAATCCCCATTTAATATACATCAGCCATATTAATTATTGATTAAATTAGTTCTATAAATATCACAACAAAACCCCCAGCTTACTCACAAGCATGTTAGATACAGCAAAGACATCACACATATTAATACCCACACACACGTGCACAAAAATCCACTAACAAACACGATTTTTCTTTTAAGAAACAAGCCAGTTAAAAACAGTAGCAATGCGGTGCAAATCAATCAAACCAATCAGAACTCTGGATCAGAATATAATTAAATATGAGTTTAAAAGAACAAAGTCAGAATCCCAATTTGCATCTGTCATATTCAGTATGCAATTTTAAAATTAGTATGTACCCAGATCATTGCACATTGAAAATAGTATGTTAAAGTGGCCTGGATGGCAGTGTTATTTTAGTATATTTTAGTATAGCAATTATTGATCTGAATAATGTATTATAATTAGTAAATATAATTTTTTTTAAATAAATGTAAAATTTGCTCTTATTTTTATATTTTTGGTTTTTGTTTTAATTTTATTTTCAGTTCTGTCAGGACCACTATCGTCAAAGATGATTGACAATAAGCATACAGTTTGGATTGGCGGTATGGTTCCGTTCTGGGCAAGAACTCCCTGTGCCTCCATGCAGCCTAGCATGGATGAGAGCAGGGAGAGCAGCGATAACCCCCCCAGGGTAAACAGAACAGAACCAACATAAATGTATTGCAGATATCGTTAAAGTTCAATAATGTTATGTACACATTTTAGAATTAGTCTGATTCAAAGGAGAATCATAAGGCTGAATCCTGACTGACAGAGGAGGAGTTGGGGATGGAGGAGGGTAATTAACTATTGAGCAATGCGAAAACTGTTGATAATACTGAAGGACCTTATATATGAATGCTTAGATAGGTGTCGTATTCCCATAGGTAGATGGGGATCAGCTGAGAGTCAGCTGATGCGAGCTTGGCTAACGTGACCTGCCAGAAATAACGCTATGCTAGATTTTTAGTAATTCAGTTGTGTGCTTTTTATAATTTTTTTTTGTGTTTTCAATATTTCTATTTACCTTTAATTGATATTTTAGTATAGTTTTGGTCATTTTATTTTTTTAAGCTGAAGTTTTTCATCTAATATTTATATTTTATTTTATTTCAACTTATTTTTTTACTCTTTTAATCGTTTTTTAACGATTCTTTTTTGGCTAATACTACCCACAACCTCTTACGCAATGTATTGTTTCGAGACACTTTTAGACGCAGTGCATGGTACACTTATTGGCACTGGAAACAGCCAAAGTTTATGAGGTAAGAAATTCTAATAAACCTACAGCAGACATACTGAAGTGTTTTGACAGGAAACACTGTCAGCAAAGTCATGAGAAATATTTACACAGATGCTATAGACTCTGTTTCAATACTGCTGCTTCTAGCATTACTCAGCAAACCCATCATTACAATTCCACAAGACATCCACAAGGATGTTCTCAGCCACTTCCCTGACACTTAAAACCCTTTACTGCACTTAAACATTTTCTGACACATTTATTTCTTTAAAAGAAGCTCAATGTAATATTTGGAATATGGACTGAAAGCAGAATTTTGGCTGCTACCAGTAGCAGATCTTTTTTTTTCATGTTAACCAATCACTGATATTATAGCTGATCTTGCAAATCTTTACTGTTTTATTTGCTTTAAAAATAAACCTGAAACAGCATTCACAACCCATTTCCTTTCGTTAATATGAAACGATATTTAAAGTGAAAATATCAAGGGTGGGACTTTTATCCATCAAGAATTGGATTGTGCAATGTGTCACTATGGCAGGCAATTACAGGGGAGGGGTTGAAATATGAGGGGTTGAAAACGTAAATAGGACAGCTGTTTAAGAGACAAAGCAAATTTTTACATTTTTAAGCAAGATTACAAAAATAAATAAATTATAATTTGGAATAAGAAAAAATATTACTATTATCCAAAACAATATCAGGAATGTTTGTTAAGAAAGTAAGTAGGGTCAATATTGATTTCATGTTTACTTTAATCAAAAAATCTTGCTCATATGATAAAAAAAAAGCATAAGCTTCAAGCAAAATCAATATACATCTTCAGGCTGTTAGCAATAATTAAGTAATTAAATTAACTTTGTCATTATGTACTCAAATCTTGACCTAAATTTCAGTCTGCTTCTCATGTAAACCACATGGCTTCTAGAAGACTGTGTGTGGAAGTTGTGTGCACTATTTTTATAATGGTTTTTGCTTTTTTTTTTTCCTATTTGGAGCTTGACAGTTGTGGTCAGTAAAATCTTTTGTGTCATCCTACTTATGAGTTCAACAAATTCAATAACAACAACATGAGAACATCCCTTAAAAAACACCATAGATAATCAATATCATCAGATATATGTTGCATTTCACTTTATAAGTTACCTAAACACACTGATTTCTTTGTGTCTATGGCTGTTTACAGTTTTGAACTCCCTGAAGTAAAAGTTTACCTTGGTCTTCATGAACTTGGAGTGGTTTTTGTAGACCTCCATCTGTTTGATCTCCTCCTCTCGATCCTCCGTGTTCAGCAATCCATTCGCCTTTAACATCTGTATCTCATCCTCCAGGTCCCGAATGTTGCGTTCCAGGGATGCGATTTTGGTGTCCTGGATAAACAATTTAGTGGAAAAATTAGCCACGCTGTTCTCCATCATCTTAAGCCAGTATGACAACTTTGGTGCGATTCTACGGATCGAAGCATGCCAAACCCTATTCCCAACAGATGGGATCAAAACAAGAGGAAGACAGGTATATGCGAAACTCTAACGTCTTGCAGCATCGCCAGTGAGTAGCTGCAGTACTGCTGCATAGCCAAAGCAGAATCTGTCTCTCTCATGCTAATGGATCAGCATGTAATCACCATTTGGTAGTACTGAGCGCACATTCAGCCCGGGCGGAGAGACGCTCTGGGAAAGCGAGCTGTGCGTGTGCCTCTTTGGACTGCGAGAACTCCCTGAAGTTGCAGCGTTGCAGCTCCTTCAGCTTTTTAAATAAATAATACAATGTCTTTTGCATTAGATATGGTCCATCTCCCATTCAGACATAAGAGAACGTTTGCTGTTCCTTCTCGCATGCTCTCTCCGCTAACCCGCCCTTCCTTTCCGCTCTCTTCCTCTCTCTCTCTCTCTTGCTCACTCTCTCGTCTTTTTGTTTTCACAGACATCAATAGGCACCATTTTCACACGAGGCCTTTGAAAACCAACATCCCATTTTGCACATACTGTACACAGAGAGTCGATTCCTTAGGCAAAAAGCGAAGGCTCATCGTCAATATTTTGAAGGCTTTGAATGGTAAATCCTTCATCATTTAAATGCAATGTAACATTATACCTTGTGGCTCTATGAAAGATAATATCCATCTTCAGAGCATAAGCAAACAGATCACATTGCTCTCTTTTCTGTCATCCTCTCCCACGCCTGCATTTGTGCTCTCTGTGTTGTAAACAACTCCACCTGTTCCCATGGCACCAGAATCAGCATCCCTGCTCAGCCAATAGGGCGAGAGAACACTAGCGGTGATGCTAAAGGTTAAAAGAGCAATGGAAACCAGTACAGGTGGAGCGGCTTTTGCGGTTTTTGATTCAAGGAAAATGCATAAATCGAATTAGCGAAGTTGCACATTGAATAGGAGTCTATCATTACACTTTTTGTATCACATGGATGCAGTGGTGAACTCTGGGTAATATTTAGCTCCAATCAGAGTGGACCCGAGGGGTGTGTGCGTGCCTTGCATGAGGTCATGCTTTATTTTTAGAGCAGTGTGTAATGCTTCTGCCTGTGAGCGCACAAACCCACTTACTGTTTCATTCAGCCATTTAGCAGCATGCTGCAGTGGCTTTGCCATCAGACATTTCTCTTGTCTTTCTGGACCACTTTCTGTTTGCTTTTTCTGTCTATTTTTCTTCCTGAGCAGCCGGAGCGTGCCAAATATTACTACACTCTCTAATAACAAAACTAATTATTTGTAAAAACAAGTCTTTCAGGCTCACCAAGGCTGCATTTATTTGATTAAAAATATAGTAAAAACAGTAATATTGTGAAATATTATTACAATTCAAAATAGCTGTTTTCTGTTTTAATATATTTTAAAATGTAATTTGTTCCTGTGATGTCAAACATCCATTACTCCAGTCTTCAGTGTCTCATGATCCTTCAGAAATCATTCTAATATGCTGATTTGCTGCTCAAGAAGCATTTCTTATTATTTGCATTGTTGAAAATAGTTGAACTGCTTAATATTTTTTGGAAACCGTGATACTTTTTTCAGAATACTTTGATGAATAATAAGTTCAAACTAACAGCATTTATTTGAAATACAAATCTTTTGTAACATTATAAATGCCTTTACTGTCACTTTTGATCAAAATAATGCATTCTTGTTGAATAAAAGTATTAATTTCTTTAAAAACAGTACAGGACCCAAACTTATGAATAGTAATGTATAGTACATATTATACAATATACAGCATTCACAGATATTTACCTTCATCTCTATGATAGTCTGAAGAGCTTTAGTTTTTCCAGGGTCTGGGTGAAGCTGGTTTCTCCGATGAAGCTCCTGGGAGAAACAATAAATTATAATCAACATAATGACAAACACATAACACAAAAATAGAGCTACTACACTGCAGAAAAAAAGGTGTTCTTGTTTATTACAACAACTTTTTTTTACTTGTTATAGTGTGAGGTTAAAATCCATTACTTAACCCTAACTCTATCCCTAAACCTAAAACCCAAAACATTGCAATCCAGGAACATGTCCTACTTCTGAAAATCACACTGTGCATTCTGATCTCTTTCACTCTTTGACATTTTTATAGTTTTATTTTATTCTCTTTGAGCTCACAGTGAATTATGCACACTATCTGTGTGGTTGCAACAGCACTGGCATGGATCTCCTCACGTTTTTCTCCTGGGTTTAGATGACTTCACAGACCATATGCTGTTATTGTCTTCGTTGCATCTGACTGTCTATCTGATTATTACGATGGCAAACCACTTAACTTCAGATTGCTCCATGGAGACTATCCCTGAATTATTATATTTTGAAAATCTGCTTTGAAAAGTGTTACACGTTCATGTTTGAAAACACTTTGCAAAAACATTTTTGCAATTCCTGGTGACGCTAACAGAGCAGAATTCACAAACTTCACCTTTAAAGGGATAGTTCAACCAAAAATGAAAATTCTCTCAAGTTGTTCCAAACCTGTATGAATTTCGTTCAGCTGCTGAACACAAAAGATGATATTTTGAAGAATGTTGGTAACTAAACAGTTGACGGTAGCCATCGACTTCCAGAGTATTTTTTTCCTTACTATGGAAGTCAATGGACACCGCTAACTGTTCGGTTACCAGCATTCTTCAAAATATCTTATTTTGTGTTTAGCAGAAGAAAGAAACTCAAACAGGTTTTGAACAAGTGAACAGTGAGTAAATGATGACAGTATTTTAATTTTTGGCTGAACACGCATGGCCCAAAATCCACTTTCAACCCAAAAGTGTGAGTAGAACCTGATACCTCTCTCAGATGGAGGTTTTCCTTCTCCTTCTGGTCTAATATCACCTCTAGGTGGCCCAGCTGAGCTTCGGCCTCTGCGATACGCCTGGCTCGCTCTTGCTCTTCCTCATTTGATGCTCTTCCTGAGGCTGGGGGAAGCCCTTTACTCTGCAGCATCTCCAACAGCTTCTTTATGGACTCGTCTCTGGCTCCCAGCGTCTGTTTCTGCGTCTCAATCCTCAGCTCCATCTCTTCCAGCGTCTTCCTCAAGAGGAAGAGCTCTTTGGCCTGACGGTCGTGTTCGGCTTGGAGTCGACGGAAGTTCTCTTCGGTCAGCTCGATGGTGGTGAAGTGTTCTCCGCCACTGGCCCGCGACCCACTCTCCTGCTGGAGAAGATGGTTGAGGTCGCGTTGAGTCCTCAACTCGTCCTGCAGGGCCTGGATGGTCAACTGGAGGTGCTGGAGAAGGAAACAAAAGCAGAAATTAACATAAGATGGCTTGGGATCCTCATTTAGACAACAATCAGAAGGTATCCTCATCCAGACCCATTCAGAACATGTTTTGAGGTCAGAAATATCAGGTTAGTTTTGGAAAAAAGGCTAGATAGACCCCACTGTGATGTATAAACATATTGCACTGTGTCCTAACCAGGTGTGGGGCAACAAGTTTTTTAGCATCGAGCAATTTTTCTGTCCTTCAAGTAAGTTAAAAAGCTGAAAAGTGACAAAAGCCAATCAGAATGTAATTGATGCTGGAAGAAGTGTTGTTGTTGTTAACTAAAACTAAACTATTAAAAATTGTTTTAGGTAACTGAAATAAAGCTGTTATAAAATGAAATATAATGCTAGATTTAAAAAAAAAAATTTAAATTAAAAATCTTGCCTTGGTAACTGAAATAAGTTGAAGTTGAAGTACTAAAATTACCAAAACTGAAATAAAAATTAAATAAACCCCAAAAACTAATAAACACGACAACAGCACATAAGAAAATTACTAAAACTTTAACTAAAATGAAAACTTTTAAAATAAAAGCTAGTTAAAAATATTAATAAATACTATTATAGTATATAAATTATACTATACTATATTATATATTATAGCACTGCTTTGGACCAATGAGATTTCACTGTGGGCGGGGCTAGAATTGATAGCCTAAAGCATTGCTGCATCATACCTGGTTTGAGTACAGATTACAACTTAACTGGTTCATTTTTGCATTCATAATGACTTCTATTTTCCATTTCTTTGACTGTGATCAATGTTGAAAGTTAAATTTTGAATAGCTAAACTGACCAATTTAGCAATATCTGGAAATATATCCAGATAAAGAATACAGCGGAAAACCACAGTGGGGTCTATTCTAGGAGAGGAAACCGGAAAGGATAAGGTTTCTCTAGAGAAAACACTAACTAATAGCTCCTTAAATAAGGTTAATGACAAAGAACTGTGCTAGAAATAGTCACAAGATAATGGGGTTTTCGGGTCTATGTGGCACATGTGGCACCTTCGGCAGAATGAGAGAGTTTATGGGCCCAGAACTGGATCAGATAATCCACACTCGTATCAGGAAATTTAGATCATTACACATCCTTGCGCTATCACAAACAGAACACACAATTCTGACTGAAGAAACGGTTCAGTCGACGATCACAGGCATGCTTTTGGTCAGGATTTTAGGAAAGAACCAGCTATTTAAGTCCCGGCTACCCCGCCTTAGCTTATCTTGAAGGAGCAAAGAGGAGCAGATAAGGGAAAATGTTCCTTATTGAGGTTGTCCTTATATAAAGATCTGATCCATTTAAACGTGATAATTAAAATAGCAATGGTCTCAGATCAGCAGCTAGTAGGGATGCACTGATATAAAATTTTAGCTGATGTAGTTAGCTGATAATGAAATCTATTTGCCAATGAAATCTATAAAGTTTTGCCTATTTCTTTTTTTCAAATTCAGTCAATTCAGTTCAGTTCGCTTTTATTTGCATACCACTTTTCAAGATACATATAGTATCAAAGTAGCTTTACAGAAAAATGAATGAAGCCATGTTGTTATTGTTAAATAAAAATATAAAAAATCATTTTAGTTACTTGAAAAAAAGAAGAAAAAAAAAACAAAACAAAATGTAAATATTAGCTAAAAAATTTATTAATTAAAAAAAAAATTTGAAAAGATACTTTGGCAACAGAATTAAATAAAATGTTTTAGAACCAAAATGACTACAACTGAAACAAAAAAAAAAAGCTAAATGGAAATATTTCTTTAAAAAAACTGATAAAAATAACAAAGGCAAATAACAATATAGAAAATGGTAATTGAAATCTCGCAGAAATTTTGAAATAAAAAGGAAACGTTTCAATTAATATACCCATTAATAAAATAAAATAATTAAATAAAATAAAAAATAAAATAAATAAAATCTGCTGATAATAACTGCTTTCGATATTGGACTAATGAGACCAACACAACTAAAAATCCTAATATTGGCTAATACTGACATGGTCACCATTATTGTGCATCCCTAATAGAAAAGAACAACACTCAAAGAAACCCACGAGATCCGAATCCAGGGATCAGTTTCAGGGTACAGTCTGGTTTTCTTTAAAGATCAGGGACACATTTCACGTTGAGTGTGTGGTACCATGTTCTGCACACGATGGCGAACATGACAACAAACCTTTGTCCTCCTGGCGTCCAACAGGTGCTGCATGATTGTGGAGTGCAACAAAACAGAAACAATGAAACACAGCAGAGTGAGTACAGAAGGAGATGGACTAAGCAATGACACAAGACAAAAACAAATTGATAGCATTATTCAAAGGATTCAATTACAAAGAATAATGTGGCATTTTACATTCAGGACACTGTATACAAACACATTGTTAATGGAAAACCCATAACAGAATGGAAAATACGATTAAAGGCCATAGGAAGTCATAGAGCTAATGTGAATGATCATTCTGGAAAGACGTCAGATATTAAACAGGATAAATGCACTGGGATTTAATTGTGTCATGACATTGTAATGTCTGCATTTGGCCAGCAGAGGGAAGGGAAGTGCTGTTTCAGACACACAGGAGTGAACTGTGAGCTGGCTTGTGCCAGCCTGTCTTAGTTCCAGATCAAGGGGCCCTCAGTCTTATGTAAGAAATGCCGTTTTGGGCTGGTATATTTACACCATTATACATTCTCTTCACACAGAGACAAACACACACTATACAGGACTCATACAAACTGCTCAAACAACATCGTTTTAGTGTGTTTGATATTTGATAATGCAAACATTATATATATATATATATATGCATTCAGATTTTTTGCACTGACATACTGTTTCATGAAAAATACATAGATAATGTCCAAGTCATATTTCACCCTAAATTTCACTGCAACTTTTTATTGTTTTTTTTTCTCGAAATTCTACATCTCGCAATTCAGATTTTTTAAAAATAAAAATAAAAAAATAAAAAGGTAATTGCGACCTTTTTCCTGGATTTGAGAATTTATTTCACAATTCTGATTTTTCTTCTCAGAATTGTGAATTTATAAACTCAGAACTGTGAGGAAAAAAGTCAGAACCGTGAGATAAAAAGTTGCATATTTATTGTTCATTTTTATTATTATGTATAATAGGATTTTATATACACACACATATAAATATATATATATATATATATATATATATATATACACACACACACACACACAGGTGCATCTCTATAAATTAGAATGTCGTGGAAAAGTTCATTTATTTCAGTAATTCAACTCAAATTGTGAAACTCGTGTATTAAATAAACATATAAATATATATATATATATATACACACACACACACACACACAGGTGTATATATATATATATATATATATATATTCTTATTACTGTAATGCAGAATTTGTATGTTTGAGTTTCAGTGATATTATAAATAGCCCCTTTGTATTTAAGCAAAATATAATTTCTTCTTTATTTTGATTTAGGGGTGAAATATGACCTGGTTATGGTCTTGGCAGGTTTGTGAGATTAACTCATCCTTATAATGTAACTAACAATATTCTGTCTTTAGAAATAACTAATGGGCTTTTATGACTCGGTGCTGATACTGCACTCCGTCTGCGCTCATTACCTCTTAAAGAATCGAATGCAGCTGTAGGGAATCGTCTATGTTTACTGCAGGCACATTAGCAAATTAATTCAGACTCCACACACATTCACACTCGACTGCAAGCAGACACACACAAAATCTAACACGTGAACTCGTTTATCACAGATAAATGCATTTAGATATGCACGGCACACACAAAAACAGAGGAGATGAGAGTTCGGCTAATTCAATTTGTCGACCGAATAAACTCACTATTTCTACAGCTCTATTTCTGTTGTATTCACTCTTCCCAGCATAGATCGTGTTTCCTTCAGGACAGGAAGTTTATTGAGAACACAGGACATTTGTCTCTCTCTCCCTTCTGTTTATCTGTCTCCTTCCCTTATTCCTTATCCTCTCCTCCTTCTCTTTCCCTCTCCGATCAATAATCTGTCTTGGCTGGCAAAGAATTCAAGGAAACGGTCCAATTATTCCATTTGCATAATTACAACAGTTTGCAAAGAGCCACAATCCCCTGTGTTGCAAAACGGTGGCCAGAATAAACTCCATTCCTTACAGCCAGAGATATACATGGGGTAGCTGTTCCCATGCATTTAAAGGGACCGTTCTCCCAAAAATAAAAATGCTGTCATCATTTATTAACCCTCATGTCACCTTTCGAACAATAACTGAATATTTTCATTCCTGGGTGAACTGTCCCTTTAAGAGCATGAGGTTTGAGTTGAATTAGCGGAGTCATTCAGAAGTGTTCAGCTTTCATGTTGTGTGTGTGTGAGGAGCTCTCAGACGCACTGAAGCATAGGCAGGCATGAATATGTATCCCATACGGCAGCGCATGACAAAGGGAGAGGCGGCATCACGCGGAGGAGAGCTGGCAGCAGGAATAGTCCTAAGCATCCCTGATGAAGCCTGCATCACTTCCTCTCCTGCTCATTACTCATTACCCCCCATCATTATCACAAATGTTTCAGCATCATGCATCCAAGAGTGAAACAATTTTTCAGTCAATTTGTCATTCTGTGGATAAATTTAATTCCTCTACATATTGCATCTTTATGCTGTGTTTAAAAGTCTAAGAGTGAAAAAAAATGTGTTTCATGTGTTTTGAACTGTCATTACAGTACCATGAAATTCTTTCAAGAATCTTGAAGTAACGTATACACTACAATAAAATTATGTTTTTTGAAATAAATTAAACTTTTATTCAGCAAGTATGCATTAAATTGATCTAAATTGTCAGTAGACATTTATAAGGAGAATGCTGTTAAATGCTGTTCTTCTGAACTTTATATTCATCAAAGAATCTTGAAAAAAGATTCTACACAGTTTCTACACAAAATAAAGCAGCACAACTGTTTTCAACATTGATAATAATAGGAAATGTTTTATTTTGAGCAGCAAATCAGCATATCAGAATGATTTCTGAAGAATCATGTGACACTAAAATATATTAAAACATGAAATTATTTTAAATTGTAGTAATTTCACAATATTGCTGCTTTTACTGTATTTTTGTTCAAATAAATGCAGCCTTGGTAAGCATAAAAGACTTCTTTCAAAAACATTAAAAAAATCTTACAGACCCCAATATGTTTAACACTAGTGCAAATAAAAATATAATACATAAAAATCCATCAAAGTACCACTTTACTCTTTAGTAGAACTAGAGTTAGTGGTAGACAAGAAATGTGAAGAAATAACATTCAAAGAAATGGCCGTCTAAAAGTACAGTAATTGGATGAAACTGGCTGTACTGAGCTAATTTTGCATTTTTCTGAATCAAACACAATGGGTCACATTCATAAAACACAAGCAGAACAAATTTCTGTCTTAAGTAATTCACAAAACCGTTGTATTGAACTGAATCCAGCAATTTACATAAGAAGGTTTGATGTACAAAATGGTTTTACGATTTACACATGAATTTCTTGTGCGCAATGCTTGGTGATCTTCATATTATGAAGTATGAACTGTAATGTGTTCTTGGTCTCAGAGAAGTGAACAATCAAACTAAATGTCCAAATCTTTACTTGATGGCCATAGCAAATTTCAGGAACACAGATCCTAATACAACATACACCAATGAAGTCGAGTCTGTATGCACACACACACACACACACACACACACACACACACACACACGGCTCGGTACGCTTTCAACTCGTTTTTTTAGTCTCGGGCAAGACTGTACGACATTCACTTTACATGATTTGACTGATTTTTACGTAGAAAGGGCGACAGCGCACCACATTTCAAGAAATTATCATTCATGTTTTCATAACCGCTAGCCAAATTCAAAAACAAAACTTAAATTAAATCATCTTTGAGAGCAAGGGGGCCCCCTGGTGTTTTGGGGGGGTCCTACGCAGCTTGCGTATTTTGCGTATAGGGAGGATCGGCTCTGATAGCGACATTAAAATAAGTAATTTACGTCCACCCCAATGACAGACGCTTCATCTTTCTGCACAACATCCATCAGCTCAGTCCAAATGTAAAAATATTTTGCTCTGGCTGTCAACCACCACAGTTAATGTTACTGCATCTCAAACTGAATGATTACAGTGAAAGCCAAAACAACAGCCAGGATATAAGAAAATAGTATTAAAGCGATCAATTTTGTAGCATTTCATTTTTTCCCCCACAAAAGTCTACTTATATCATTAGTCAAGATGTCTTAAATCAGAAAGTTGTACATGAATATTTTCCAATCTCCCTCAGAACGGTGAAATGACAACATTTTCGTGCTATTGTACCTTTAAAACTACTATGAGTAAATAATCTCAGATTACCTAACCAGCATACTTCATTCAACATGATGGATCAAGAGGCTTAATATTTAAACGTTGACGGTCATATGTTAATCTGTTGATGCTGTGATGTTAATATAGAGACCAGTGCCGATCCTAGACTTCTGGGGGCTTTGCGTATAGGGAGGATCGGCTCTGATAGCGACATTAAAATAAGTAATTTTGAGGGGTAAAATGCATGAAATAATTCACAATAAGACCAGTAAATTATATTAGTAAAGTAAAAGTGTTTATTTACATTTCATGCTCATTCAAAACTAAATATAAATCATCCAGAGGGACACGCTAATTAAATAAATACTGATTAATTTGTGACTAACTAAATTGTGACTATCACAATGAAAAGGGAGTAAAAAAATAAAAAAATAAATAATAATAAATAAATATTGATCGATTTGTGACTGGACAACAATGAACAGGGAGTGAAAAAATAGAAAGAGAAGAAATATTAATAAAAAATAAAATAAAATAAATACTGATAAATTTGTGACTGGACCACAATGAAAAAGGAATTTAAAAAATTGAAATATTAAGTTAAAAATACAAAATAAGCCATTTTTACTGGACAAAATTTGTGACTGGACCACATGAAGAGGCAGCAAAAAAAGAAAAAGAGAAGAAATATTTCATATGTGGATAGCCAAAGCCACTAAACACCTCAGGGATTATCACCGCTGCATGCTAGGACACAACAAACGCTCACACACTCACACAGATACACACACACACACACACCATTGCTCCGCAGTACATGCTAAAGATCAATAACCACAATCTGTGCGGGAGCAACAGTAG